TCCCTGGCGGGGCCCAGAGGCGGGGAAGTCGACGTCGAACCACTCGCTCCAGGAGCACACTTCGACTGGACAGCTGGTAGTGGACGGGGTGGTGGTGGGGGTGACGCTGGTGGAGGATGGGCTAGGTGTCGGGGCGGGAGTGGTGGTGTAGGTCTGCGATGTGGTTTCTGAGGAGGTGGGCAGCGTGGTGGAGGTGGAGGTCGTGACTGTGGTGGAGGTTGGTGTGGTGGTGGTTGGTCTGGTGGTGGTGGTGGTTGTGGGGCTGGTGGTGGTCACGGAGGTGCTGGTTAGGCAATTGTAGTTGGGCCTGCAGCAGAAGACACGGATCCTGTAGTTGAGGCACATCCTAAATTGGCCGGTCTGGTCTTCGTTCTTGCAGACCAGTCCGAAGTGGACATCGCACTGCACGACCTGTCCGACGTTTTCGATGGGAAGTTCGGGGTAGTCCTCCGCCTGGCACTCGATTTCCTTTGGATGGTGACAGACTTCCTTCCCGGCGGCCCGGATGTGCTGGTAGGTTTCGAAGTCTCCCTGGCTGGGCCCAGAGGCGGGGAAGTCGACGTCGAACCACTCGCTCCAGGAGCACACTTCGACTGGACAGGTGACACTGGACAGGGTGTTGGGGGGGGTGACGCTGGTGGAGGATGGGCTAGGTGTCGGCCTTGTGGGGCTTGAGGATGTTGTAGTCTGTGTTCTGTTTTGAATATAAGTTGTTGGTTCTGATGTACTTCTGCTATGTATATGGTTTGTTTGTGGTGGAGTTGTTGACATTGTTGTTGTCTTATGTTTAGTTTGTAAGTGTGGTTGTGTCGTTTCTTCTGTTGATGTTTTTATTTCAGTTGTTGAAATAGTTGTTGATTGCTTTGCAGTTACATAGGGTGTTGTGGTTTGCTGGCACGGTACTGTGGTGTTTGTACAGCATTTAAATCTTACTTCATAATTATAGCAAATGGGTGGTAATTGGTCTTTGTTGTAGCATATCAACCCTTCCTCTGTATTACATGTTATGTGTTGCTCCAGGAGTGGATATGGTGTATTAGGGAACCTTACTGCTCTGCATTCAACAGCCTTTCTGTTTTCACAGACTTTGTATCCATGTTTTTCAATGTTCTGAACTGTATCAAATTCTCCATCATTGTATCCAGACCCTGGATAACTGACATCATACCATATTGACCAGTAACATTCTTCTTTAATGCAAGGAGGAGTTGTTGAAGGAGAAGTTTTTGCCGGTGTTATTTTGGTTGTACTTGTGCTTGTTTCTTTAGTAGCTGAAGGTGTGAATGTTGTACTTTTAGAAGTTGTGGCAACTGATGATGTTGTAGTGGTTGAAAATGATGTAGTTTTTTCACTTGGACTTGATGTTTCTGTGCTTTTAGTTGCAGTTGTGATCGGTGTTGACATGCTGAAATGTGTTGTGGAAGAACATGGTACAAAAGCACAGCAGAAAATTCTGATTTCATAATTGTTGCACATTGTTGAGTTTTGATCTTTGTTGTAACATATAAGCCCAGCTGTTGTACTGCATTCTACTTTTTGGCCAAGGTCTTTCAGTGGTGTATTAGGAAATTTCTCTGCTCTGCATTGAACAGCCCGTGGAGCTTCACAGACGGCATAACCTTTAGCCCTCAAATCACTAAAGGTTTCAAAATCTCCACCATCATTGCCAGGGGTTTGCACACTCCCATCGTACCATTCTGACCACTCACAGACTTCATGAACACATATTGATGTAGTTGGTGACACTGTGAAAGAGAAAAAGAAGAGACCACGGAAGTTAGAATAAATTCCTATAGATATTATCTTTTTTTTTTTTTTTATATTAACTGGGATGAAAATTTTCCTAAGGTCATTTGCTTGTATTGTGGGCCTGTAATGCATCAGTTCATTGTGCGTATAATTTAATGTGAAGGAGAACAGAGAATCCATCACCCACCGATTTAATGTACTGACATGCTTGGAACTGTCACTTCCCAAGGGAATGCCAATTATCTTTAACAAAGTGCTGAAATAAGTCTCAAACATAATTTATACACATTGGAGTAAAAAAAAAAAACCCTTGCATTTTTTTTTCATTTGATTCAGTGTAATTGCTTGGTTTGTATCTTGCTTCCATATTTATTAGTCTTTCTGGAATGTCAAAGCCCAGACTGAAATTCAGTGGAAAGAATAACATTTAGTCCATGCATCAAGATTCATAGGTACTTTCTTCTTCCAAATGAGTTGACTCCTCATGTAATATGCTGCACTGTCTTTGCTCCTCCATTTGAAATAACAGATGTCTAATGCAGCATTTTTAACACCCCTACACTTTGTACTTTAGCTCTGGTCTTAACAAACCATTATTGGTTGGAGAGCAGCCCATAAGCTTTTGCAGGTGAATTATCATTGTGAAATGGCTGGAAAATGGCTATGAATTCCAGCAGTGCTGATGGTTTCTGTGATTTCAAAACTTGTATTTCTAAATTTTACACTGAATATTTATTTCATTAAATGTGCCCATAATAATTAGAGATTACTAGCCTGAAGAATGCTAAACAGGAATTCTAGAAAAGAAAATTTCAGTATGTTAATGCCAATATCTGAGCAATCCACTTAGTACTGTAATTATAAATGACATGAACCCTACCAGGAATTTTACAAATAGTAATCATTCTGTAATTTAAGAGGAAAAATAATGAATTATTTGTTGAGAAAATATTATTCTAGGTATATAAATAGTTATAATTACAGATAATAAACCTGATACTGCTTATTTATTGTTCACTGTGAAGATAAGCAAAATAACAATATCAAACCAGTGTGCACTGGTTTTCATTTTGGTGTTTCAGAAGTGGTGGTGGGGTTTCCTATGTTTGTTTTCTTGTATTAGTTTGTTTACCAGATACTGACTGAAACCAAATGCTAATAACAAATGAGAGTTATTGTCATTTATTTTGAAGTTGTATTAATTAATTTGTGTTATGAGCGTGGGCATGGGTTTGCAGTTGTATTTCACTCAGTAATAAACAGAATATGTTTTTATGGGCTATAAAGGATATACCTGTGGCAGTAGTGGTAGGTGGTGTAGTGCTGAAGTGAAACGTTGTTGATGTTGTGGGTAATGTTGAGATTTGACATTCATAGACAACCCTTTGAAGTGTCCCATTGGGACCACAGGTTGCGACAATACACCCTCCTGTGCCATCTGTAGTATTGTAGATCACATCTTTATAGTTGTATTTACGGCCCTCATAAATGCAGACACATTCTGTAAATCAAAAGAGAGTGTTATACCTTGGTATCTGAAACAGAACGCAGAGTACCACAAATGCATCCTATTCAGATAAAAACAACTTAGTCAACATACCATATTCATCATATTTGCATTCTTCGCCATGATTTGTGCATTCACTGAAAAAGAGAAAAAAGGAGATGATGAATGTGAATATATTGGTTCACTTATTTTTTTGAAGGGAAAGTGCAGTAAATGTATCATTTGAGAAAGGATCACTGTATCACAGATGTTGAGGTTTATACAGAGAATTTCCATCAGACTTCCAAAAAATGCAAGAATGCATTCTGGTTTTAAAGGGAATTTATCTATTATCTGTTAAGAACTGAATCTTGATATATTTATATACAGTGACTAAGGGCATCTGTATGCTGAATAAACTTAAGTAAATATAGATACGTATTTAAAAGGTTAGGTTTAGTGCTGTTAATGATACAAGTGATGCAGGCAAAGCTGCCTGTAAACTGCAAAACATGCCATGAAAGTTAGGTTAGCTCAGATGGGTTTTGTGCTAAGCTCTGCCATTCTGGCTGCACTGCTTGCAGTATTCAAGTTTAGATACTTTAAAGGTATCTTAGGACAGGTGTTAACTGCTTCACAACTGGTTCTGCTAACTTTGTGCTATTTGATAGAAGGCTTAGCAGCACTTGTCCCAACATGGCATCAATTCTGACAGAATGTGTGGGAATACTTGCTGACTGTTGCAAATACGCAAGTACCAGTGCAATAACAGAAACAAGCTCAAAACAATGAAAATTAGTTGCCTACTAACTTCTAAATAATTTCATATAATGATTTTAGGGATATCTTAATACAAATTCTTAGACTGTTGCTATAACTATTATTATGTTAATTTTTTACTTAATTTAATAATGATAATAATTTTAAAAAACTTTAATAAGAATACAGAATAACTAGTAAATTATACTCTGTGTGGTAAAATGTTTCACCATGTCATCATTTAAGTTCCTGGGAATGGAAGAAAATTAGACATTATTCTGCAGCCTATGATTGGCCTAGTTCCTGTTGGCAAACAAAAAACTTAATGCATGATGAATTACGTTCCACAACTTTAAACTCAACATTTAAAAAACTTTACTAATCCTACCATGATTGACAATTCTGCTTTGAAGGCATTTTCATTCCTGGTTTGTAATTTTTTCCATTTTCATAACAACCACAATTAGAAACACAAGTCATTGTTTCTTCATCAAAATAGGACTTATTCTTTGGACAGTCTGGATAGCAGCCTGCAATAAAAATGAGAGTTATGTTGACACTAGGCCTTTCCCAAGTAGAAGTCTGTTCTCAGATTATATCTGCTTTCCCCGAATTATTCCATATGGCAAGTGGAATTTCAGACTCTGTTACTGCTATTGCTTTGATTGCACATTAAGCTTTGGAATATTTTGTCCTCATCTTCACTCCAAACAAGTTCATGATCCATTAGGGAGTGGGATACTAATTAGAAAACCTCTTCTTATAATTTCTAATACAAGCCTGTCATATACCAAGTAATATAAATTCTGTTAATCATACTACATTTTAGCTTTTTATAAGTAGAATAAGATATGCATAATTATGTTTACCTTCCAAACCTCTCAACTCATGAAGGCAGCTCCCACTTGGATTATTGCAGGTCTTCATACAAGGGGCTCCACATGGCTTGTAGTGCCACTCACATTCCCCTTGTGGATTGTAGTAATCGCAGAACAAAGCTAGAGGAAGGAGAAATGACAGAAAAACCCCCTTGATCTTTTTGCTCTACAGTCTTTCAGTTTTGCTGGGTAAAAATCCCATATGATCACAGAATCATAGAATGTTTTGGGTTGGAAGGGACCCCTAGAGGTCATCTAGTCCAACCCCCCAGCTTAATCACATAGGTGATGAACAGTATATTGTCTTATTTCTAATTTAATACAATTGTTACACTGCCACCACCTTTTGACACCAATAAAGTTATAAAGCATAGACAGAGGTAACTCTAAGCATGCAAAAGCAATTAATTGATCACCGATTTTTGCTAGTATGCAATGATGTTTACATTGAGCCTGATGTAGACAGGTGGGAGTGTAATATAATATTACAGTTCACCAGCTGTGTATCGTGATTGATAAGTAAATCAGACACTAATGACACCGCTGTTAAAGTTACTATCAATGGTTTCATTTTAAGAAGATATGTTGGCTTCCAGTGATTCACCCAACTTGTTTTGTGGGTTTTTTGCTGGTTTTAGAATACAGCAGTGCATCTTACAAATACAGTTTTATCCTTTTTTCTTTTTTCATTCTACTTTTTTTTTCTTTTTTTCTTCTCTGTTTTCTTTCCCCCTGGACCCCTTCAAAAAATAGTAGGGTGAGACTCACGACAAATGGTTGGGGTTCTCCATGAAATGCAGACATCCAGCTCATTGCACGCTTGAGCATAGGCAGCTACTGCTGTACAGAAACATTCACAGTCTCCTCCAGTGTCACAGGCACAAGCATCATCCACGCATGCTTGATAATATTCATTTGGTTCAACCTGTTGGAGAAAACATTTGAGTTTTCATGCACTTGTCCTCTTTGAAAAGGCATTCACTGTCCTAAAAAAGCTGAATAAAATATCTGAAACTAAGTGTGAGAAAGATAAGAAAGGAAGAAACCATGAGAATGCTTTGAAAAATCAAGAGCAAAATGTAGAATAAAGCTGTTACTAATAAGTTGAATGCTAAGAACTGTTTGATGTTGAAGATATATTTGCAGAAAGAATGCTGTTACATTACTACAAGCTAGCATGCAGTCATATATATGAGGTGGCTGATGTTTATACTAGTAGAAAATGATGCCATTAGAAAATAAACATATCCTGAGATTTATCTGTGATTGTCCCTTCTAATAAAAAAAAAGCAGCGATCAGTTTCTTCAGGGTACTAGTTCAAGGCATGCGATGAGAAAATGAAAGTTAAAATACTTTCTATGCAGTCTCCCTGGAACTTGGTCTGACTTAATCTTGTCAAGCATGACAAAGTGTATTTTAGTGTATTTTTCAGTATTTTTCAACATAAAAATTAACATAATCTCTGGCTCAAGAGAATTTTAAGGCTGAAGTTTTTGCCATACCTGGGAGTGACATTTTGCAAACACTTCACTGGTAATGATGCTGCATTGCTTCTGTGCCCAGGCTTTCCTGTATGGGTTTGCAGTGCATGGGTCCTTGGTACGATTGGCATTTGGGCAACTAGAAGACACTTTCCAGCTATTGCCGAACTCCAGCACATTTCCTACCACAGACTGACTGCGAGTAGTGAAATCATTATTTCCATTGCCATCGTAGTTTCCACAAAGTCCACAGATATGTCCCTGCATGGGGGTAAACACAAAATGAAAAAGATCAGTAGGATACAGTTTGTGAGTATCTGTGAGTAACAGACCTCAGGATGAGTCTTACTTAAGATTATCTGGGCCTCTTCAGTAATAGTCTTGGACATTTTCATAAATCCCTTTCATGAAGAGATGGCTCTAACTTGTCATTAGGATGGATAAGGCTAAGAAGCAGAGTAGATTCATGGTTTTTGTTCTTAGTGTTAAGCTAATTAGTTTTATCTAATCCTGAACATACCTCTTCAGTAAGGGCTTTTCATGAAGAAAGCTACTGATGTAGTTGCTGTTATGCCAATGCTGAATAACATAAGTTAAGAAAAATGTGTAGTACACAATCTAAGTCAACACTAGAAGGATAATAATATGCAATCACTGCTCTTCCAATCTTCTGGTTACAGCCTAAATTTCCATTTTTTTTTTCTTTGAGACGTAACATGAACATGTTTCAGAAATAATTTTATCCAGGTTTTGAATTTTGAAATGTACCTGAAAGCTGGGGCTAAGTTTGATGAATATACTGGTTTTCTTGTCCCACATGAGTATCAGGCCAACAGTAGTGTCAACCACCAGGTAGATGCCCATGGAACGGATTTGGAATGGCATTTTCCCTCCAGGTGCCCTCTGGATGACATCAGACTGTCCATCACTGAGTACCAGCTCATAGTTCTAGGACAGGAAAAGAGAAAGTTAAAGGCCAATTAAAAAAAAGTCACCCATTTAGTACAGTTTTATATATTGCCAGTAACTTACTGAAATAGTAATACTGTTGTAATCAAAATGATTCTATCAACAACCTCATGTTAAGCAACTTCTCTTTAGATTTCCCTCCTTTGCTGTCTCTAGCAGAGAGCAGAATTGTTGGCAGTAAACAAAGAAGTGTAGTAACATTTTCACTGTCTTGGAGGACACTTATACAATGCAGTCTATCTGGGACAGCTTGTTCTGTCCTTCTGGCACATTAGGCCCAGGATACAATTTATTAAAGAAAATACTTACGTCCAGGAAAACTTTAATAGACTTAGAGCAAGTGGTTCCTGTAGTGCCACATGGAATGTTCTCGGTGATGACACTGAAGGTTCCCTGATTCGTACCTTGTTGACCACAGTAGTTCTGAAACAGGGGAATGACATTCAGTGTTAACTGTGCTACATGGTCATATGTAAAATGCAAGGTACTTCAATAGTACAAAAAATCTGGGAAGGACTCTTACCTGGACCAGAACATATTCACAGTCTCCTTCAAAATCAAAGCGTTTGCCATCAAAGGTGGTGTAATGCCCATCTCCATAAACAGAACAGGTTTCCATGCAAGGCTCCTCAGAGCAGTGCCATTTTCTGTTTCTACATGTGCTGCATAAGACAGAAAGCACTCCAAATGTAAAAACCAGACATACACATGATATAGTTGTATGTACATACCTGCATGTACATCAGTCTGATTTTAAAATGTGTTAAGCCTATAATGAAAAAATAAGGTTTGCTTATTCTCAGAAATGCAGCATAGCTCAAGAGCCTTTGAGATTTACCCAAAGACACTGTTACTTCGTGATGTCATGAATCATTTGGGTTAGAAAATACTTCAAATCTCACATTTTTACATCTTTTTGGATGTGTTGAAATGTGGGCATTGCCTGCAAGGAAAAAAGCTTTCTTGGATAGAATGAATATGAAGACATCCCAACCATATTGTTCTTCTGACCACTTGCAATTTCTGTGCTGTGTGCCATTGTAAAAAAATGACAGTGCTTGCTTTTTAGGTACTAACAGGGTCATCTTACGTAGGATTCCTTCCTATAAATCTTGATACCGCTAGAGTGAAATGCTGTAATCCACCTAGAACTATTCCCTTTCGGGTGCTTGAAAATAATACTTTTCAATACGTTCTTACCACTTGTTACAGCCAACTCTGATCGATTCTCCTGGACTGTAGGAGTTCCCGTTGTGAACACATGGACAGTCTTCTGGAGCTATACAGACACCGTTGCTATCTAAGACTTGGTTATGAGGACATACACAGCCAGAGACACAGTGGGTTCTGTACTGTAAGGACCATAGAGAAAACATGACTTGAAACATTTCCCTGATGGGAGATTCCAGCTGCAAGCTGGTAACTGTAAAAGAGATCTAGTTAATATGTTTTCAACTGGGTATAAAGAGTCTATACTTACACATTCTGTATCTAGAGTCTGACAGCTCTTTTGGCATCCTGCTCCTACCACATCTGCAGTAGCATTGCCACAGTCAATATAAACCATGGGAGGTACGCAGACTGAAAGAGAGAAAGGCCATGAGAAATGCGAGATCAACCATATATTTACACCTTTGTGTTTCCTTATTGCAGACTGAAGGAAAAAAAGACTCCTCTGTGAGATACCTTAATATAATGCATTTGACCAGAAAGAGAAACTGAATATTGTTTTGAAGTCACAATCATCTGGTTTTTGTGCTTATGCTTGGACTACTCATAGAAATTAATGTTCAGTTAGCTTCGTGAAACATTTCCTTTCAGAAAAAAAAAAAATCAAGAAAACAAAGATCCTAGTTTATTTTGTGGTTTTAGGCTTTTAGTACTTTTATTTAAAATATGGATGGTTTGCACCTCACATTCAGTGAGGTGACCAAGTATTCTTTTCCCCTGGGTAACCCAGGGCAGTTATAACTTGTTTCAGCCATCTGAAAATTAAGACAGTGGGTTTTTTGTATTTTGGGAATATCCTCTACATTACAGAAGTCATCGGTTCATTTTCTTTTTTTCTTTCAGACTTGTACAATTTGCATCATTATGACAAAAAAAGAACAGAAAATGGTGAAGATGGAAAGGGAGAATTAAACGAAATCTTAAGTGATATGTTACCTGGCTCAGGTTTCTCTCCAATGCAGCTCAGCTTTCCATAGGTGCAAGTGCTATAAAAAAAAGAGAATGGATATGGTTTTGCTTTTCATTGTTATGTTTCAGCTTGTTTCCTAATGAATTTGAAATAATGAAAAATTACTGTGTGATAAAAGAGAGAAAATGTGTCCTTTATCAGAATAATTTGTACTATTCAAAAGTATTTTATATTAGAGCAGACCAAAATACAAGTATATTCTATATAAAGGCAGTTTTGCTCTGTCTGTTTGCCTGGTTAAGAACTGTCCTTCAGAGTAGTTCAGATTCCATTCATAATGGCAATAACCTGTAATTGGCTTATCAAGCGTCTTTCACCATGGAACAAGTCTTTTACAGTCATGGATAAAAAGTATGTGTGGTGGGGAAGGAGTGAGTGAGTGACTGGGTGGGAGTTTGGCTGTTAGCCAAAGCTACCCCACCACAGTATGGTTTGTTGAATTCCTGTAGGAGTGTAGGTAAAATCTTCCAAACTTTAATAACCCTAACAATTTTTAAGGATCTGTGATTTTTTTTGTATTAAAAGTTATCAGGGAGAGAAGTGCATTTTATTTTAATAGACTGCATAATGTATATATGGTTTCATGATTGCCTATATCCAATGTCATTCTTTTGTTTATGAATCTCTTACCAGACAACTCCATTATCATGAACAACTTCTCCAGAAGACACAGGCATTCCTTTGTAGTAACAAGGACAGCTAGAAGCAGGTACACATTTGCCACTTTCATCCATGTAGGTTCCATTTATGCAGGTGCAGCCATCCACTGGGACAAACTTGATGCTGCATGTGACATCAGGCTCACTCAGAGACCGGCAGGTGGGTTGACAGGAATCGACATTGTAAGTGTACTTCAGGGATTTCGGACACAAGGTGGTGTATTTTGCTTGAGAGTAAAAAAGGTGAGTTACATGTGTAGTTCATTTAAGAATCAATGTAGGTTTAAATGCAGTATTTGAGGTAAAGAATATATGGTAAACATGGCAATGTATGTACACGTGCTTTACTGATATTGTCAATAGTGTAATTTTTTTTTTGTACTGCTAGAGCAGAATTTTGCCCTATAATTGTGTCACAAATACAAATGTTTTGTTCAGGTTAAAAGAAGAAAAAAGTTCAATTATGTTAATGCAAGGTGTGCTTTTTCTTCACTGTTATTTTTTTTTGTCAAAGTAAATTGAGAAATGCCCTATTTATTTTATTCCTATTGCAAGGCTATTGAGGTCCATGTTGCTTCTGCTGATTCTGAGCAAGTAACCTAACAAAGTCTCGTTTTTATATATCTCCCTGCTTACTGCTTGTCTTTTATGGTATTCCCTTCCTCCTCAAATTCTTGAAAGTCAATGCTTTACCTAAAACACAGTTTAACACAATCTACTGTAGGAATCCCTGAGAGCTGCTGTATGGGACCTTCTGGATGATCATTTTCAAGAGGCAAAGGGAGGTATAACTTACTGCAGGCTTTGCTCCTCCATCCAGTGAGGAGAACTCCTTTAGCAGCACAGGCCCTGACATAGCTGGAAAGGGCAGCACACATGCAGTCCTCACTCTTCTCACAGTTACACGTGTCAAACATGCAGTTCTAGGGTCAGAGGATGACATATGATCACCAGATAATCATTTCAAAGCCATGGTGCTCTATACTTTCTTAGAATGTCCTGTTTGTTAGAGCTAAAAGTGAGTGTAATCCATATGTATAAGTTAACTTCTGCCTATTTTCCATTTGAAGATTTCATTGAGCACTTTCAAAAAAGAAAGATTCTTTGCAAGGAAGAGAGAGTAATTAGAGGTCCACAGTTTTGAACTATTTTTTCTTTTTGTTGTTCTTTTTTACTTTTTCAGGTGTTGCTAGGTTTCCCAACTGCTTCCAGTTTGTAATCACTGTGCCATGTATACTTAGAACAAGTAGAGGGTATTTGATGCCACCCAACTTTTAGGCTTTAGGCTTAGGAGCTTGGGCTCTCTGCGTCGGAGGAACAGAGAAAACAAGAAGTCATTTAATGTGTTGCTGTGCTAGACAAGGTCGCTATAATGTTATAATTCCAGAAGATGTTTTGTGAAAATATCTTACAGATTTCCAATAGCAGGGCAACTTTGTAAAGTCCCCAGGCAGTTAGTTCCAAAGCTTCACCACCTTGAACTCCTGAAATATTTCTGTTCACATCTTATCTAAATTTCTTTGCTGCTTCTTACACATATTTCTTGCCTCGTCCTTGGATATATGCAAAAGCCTTTTGAGAGCAGTTCGGAGCAACTAATCAAAGTGCTAGTTAAGGCTAAAGCTTTCCTTATATCTCAGGACCTGATAAGGAGTCCAGGGAGTGCAAGCTCCTAGCTTAGGCATTTAGTTTGGTACTTAAAAATAGAAAGATACCTTTACAAAGGAGTAATTATTATGATGTGTAGATAAAAATGGCTTGAAAAGAACTATCATGAATGCATCTCCTCCCAATTGGCAAGTTATTCTCTCAGGTGTTAGTATCAGACATCTGAGTCTTTTTCTTCTAACTGGGAAAAAGTTAAGAGCTGAGTACCTTCTGGTAAACTTCTGGATTCACTGTTGAGTGACATTCAGCAAAAGGTCCTGTGGTATCAGAGAGCAGTCCACACCAGTGCTGAGCATACTGGTCTGTGAATTGAAAACATGGTAAGAATTTCTCTTGCACTTCATTGTCTAAACTCTTGTCTCAATGTAACAATACTTCCTGCAGTGCAGAAGCTTAACTTAGGGGTTCAGCTCTGCATTTGCTGAAACACAAACAGCCTTTCACTTCCTCTATACAGAAAATATGAACTCCTCATAAACTGCATGCTCTTAATTCATGGTAGTTGTCATGGAATAAACTAAGACATCCTTAGCTGAATTTTGAAAAAGGAGGTTCACATTGTGAATTAAAAATACACTAGTTCATCTCAGAAAACAGAACAGTGGCTTGTGAATGCTCAGAAATTACGTATTTCATTGGCTGAAATGGAGCCTGAGAACTATGAAACTCTGAATTGTAAGTCTGGTTCTCAGTTTAGCAGTCGAAGGACTACACTGAGTCCTACCTTCAGTGAGGCTATGCACAGCTTTTTTCATACGTGACAATCAGTCCTTTCCAGGAATGGATCCCTGATACACTATATGTCTCCAGTTTCCCTTAATTAAATTGGCAAAAATACTTGCTTTCTTTATCCAAAGGAATATTTTTGAAGATCCAAAATAATATCTTCATTATTATTTATTAATTGAAGACTACTAGTGTTAACTGAGGAAGATAGTGTGTGTGCAAATGGTTCACCATTACTTTGGCTAAATGCTTGGTGGTTGATCAGCTTATTCCTTCTTTCCATCTTAAAAGAGAATAAAGAGGTTACTGTATGCTGAGCTTACCATTTTGTACGCTGACAGTACAAGGGTTCTCAAAGGTATTTTTGGCATCAGGACAATCAGCCCGAGTTTTCCAGGTATTGCCAAAGGCAGCTGAAGTACCCTCTATTACACCACTGGTGGTTTTGAAATCATCTGTCTGAATGTCATTGAAGTTTCCACAGAGACCTAAAAGGAAGCAGATGAGCTGTGAAAGTCTCCTACAGCATGAAGTGTACTGATGAAGGCAGTTGTTACGATAAGATCACTTACCACAGGTCTGCCCTTTATGTGATGGATCTAAGTCTATAAAAAGTTGCATGAGAGGCATGAGCTGAACCTGTAGCTGAAGACCAAAGGTTGCTTGCAGAATGATGAAGAAAGATGATGGCCTGAAGATGGTGACATTCGCTAGGAACATAAAAACATAAGAGTTACAATTTCATATGAGATGAGCAGTTGAAATAACAGTTTATTATATAGAGGGATTCTAGAGCTGTTTGATATGATCCTAATTTCTGAAGAACTGGAGGAAAAATTATCCATACAGGATTTCAAATCCAAAACCAAAACCACTGTCTTTACCCTAAACAACAAAAGTATAAACCCCCACCACTTTCTGTCAAGTGTTTTAAATAAGGGGAAGAACACACACTTCTGTTGCTATTTAAAATGCCACCTTTGCTTGATGAAAATTATATAGCATGATTTAGTGGTAGAGTCCAACCTGGACCTATTCTGTCCTTTCATGGCCTGCTTTCTGTTCAGGTACAGTAGTATCTGAGAAGAACTGACACGAGAGAAACTCTCCAGTGATGAATGTGCACCAAGCGAAGGGACAGAGGGAACGCAGGGAACTAAACAACTTGAGATACTGGAGTCCTGTTGCATATCAGAATTCTTCCTTCCTTTCTTATGGCAATGTTTGGATCTGGAGGTGTGCAATGATGGCATTTGCTTGAATTGAATCTCCATTTCATATTGCTAAAATTAGACCATGATTTGGCTAAAATTATGAGAGTTGAATAGGGAAACCCCATTACTTTAAAAATGAGAGACTATACTCTGTTGGGGTACCTTGGGTTTGCTGCAGTGTAACCAAAGGTAGAATTTGGCTTTAGATTAAGTGATATAATAACATTTTAAAGTCAAAATGAGAAACATCACAGACGTCTTCCAGAGGAACTTACCTGCAGAGAATGGCAGCTGTGTGTAGATCATATTCACAAATACACTGCCAGAAGGCTGGATCACAATGTTCTGTCCACAAGAAAAGGCAATTATTATCAAGCATATTTAGGAAAGGTAAAACACTTTCCAAATAATTTCTATCTAGTGTTGTTCAGGATAAAGGAGAAAAAAGTGGGGGGAGACTGTGATGATGTTCCGATTCCTGTACTATTTCTTTACCCTTTATTACTGTGATCTGTTGACTGTCAAAACAAACAAGCAAAAGCCCGAAGATAACTAAATGCCAGAAAACTACTAGGACCTTGACTTCCAATGTACCTACTTTATTCTTAATTTTTCTTTGAATAATGTTCAAATGAGATAGAACAAAATCAGTGCAGATTTCCTGTTTGTGCTGTTATGTGTCATTTGCAAACTACTTGTCTATTAAGCTTTGAAAACATCCCTGCAGAATGTTACTACATTTGTTACTTACAGTTTGTCCTCCACTTAGGCTGACGGCTACACCCTTGAGGCACGTCTCAGTGTCAGTCAGGCCACACTTGCGGATATCTCCCAGAACAGTGAATTCATTGCTGTCACAGGACTAGAAGAAAACAAAATATATTGTTAGAAGAATTTGTTATATTAAGATACTGTTATGTTACAAAGGTTCACACTCAAATGGTGTTCTTAGTAAAGTGAGTAATTTAAAATATTGTTTATTCCTTTTCTTCCTGCTCATATGTTCTTACATAGATGTATGTATACAGTCACCAAGCAAGCTGGCGTTCATGCAGTCTGTGCAATGGAAGCTATCCATTACTTCTGACATTCAAGGGCAAGTTAGGCATACTAAGCTGAACATCAGAACTTCCTAATATTTAGGTAATACTAGTTTAATATGCTAGAGAAGAAGAAGAAGGGAGTGTGCCTTTCTTGCCCATTGGTTATGTTGTTTAGCTGGGAGAGGAGAGAAATTGTTTCGTCTCTTCTGCGCTGAGTAGATTATCAAAGAGTCTGGTGATTTGGACATTCTTTTAACAGGTAGAAAGTGTGTATTTAATTATCTTCTCATAGGAGAAAACTAAGCTAAAATCACTATTCACTAAGTTACTGAATAAAGGCAAAACTCAGGTTTTCGGTTCTGATTTTCATCAGACTGTGTTCTCTGAGCTATATTCAAAGTGTGCCTAATGGCCAAGATGATTACAGGGAAACACGCAGAGGCTGTGATTCTGAATGTGTCTTGCCACTTTCTTGGAATAATGAAGATTAAAATGAGGACAGCTGAGATGCAGAATTGCAGCCATCTGGAAATCTAATGTTAAAATAGTGGAGTTTTTGACTTCTTGTGTCCAAGTTTAGGGGTTTTCTGTAGCTCCAGAGCCTCTGAGAATCTAACTTTACATGCTGATGTGAAAAGGGGAATTTAACTTGTAAGTCTGACCTATGCTCCTTTTGTGGATCAAGCCCAGTTTCATTGATTTAGTCAAATCTATTTCTAAATTACTTTGTTCCAGTTCATTTCTAAGTTTTTATGGTTCTCTTTTGTAACAGTTTGAGCTTTTTGAAAACAGATTTTATTTAATATGAAGTCTTTATGAAAATTGTTTACATCACTGCTCCAATGCAAATAAACAACAAATGTACCTAGGATTCTGAAATCTGCAAATCTGTAGTCATTATTTAGATATATTTACTCAGAATTCAGTCCCTACAAATCTAAAACCTCCAGTAAATCTTAGGTCTTTTTGTAAGCCATCAATTTCTAATTCGGGTTTTAGACTACATGTATGACTTCTTAGCATTTTGCTTTTAAACTCTAGAATCTTTTGTGTTTACTGGGAAAGACTGGAAGGTTGATCATCTTAATGAAATAGCTCCTCTCCCATGAATTCTATATAATAGTAATTCCATTATGAATACTGTTAAATTAGCCATTGATCTATATTAACTGTGACAAAAAGGACAGTACTGATGGACATAATAAACACTTTGCTCAGAAAGAAGTAGTTATAAACAACCAGTTAGTATTTAATTAAAAAATTAATGGGAAGCATGGAGATTTTTTCATGGAACCTAAAAACTCAGTGCAGTTCTTAAAAAATGGTCAAAGAACACAAAACTACTACAGTATGTTTATTTAGTATAACCCTAAAAGGAAGCCCCTGAAATCCACTTAAAGCTCCATGTTGACCCTGTAAATTTCAGAAAGTGAATGCAATTGCCAGTAGTTTTAATTAAACGTTATATATAATAAAAACATTTTCCTTTAGCATATTGCTTTAGCAAGGATTGTGACTCATTTTTACCTTGGTTAAGACATAGCTACAGTCTCCAAAGAAGGAATAATATTTCTCATCAAACGTTGAAATGTGGGAGCCTCCTTCAATACTGCAAGTCCCGGGACATGACTGGGTGACACAAGACCATTCACCTCCAGCACAGGTACTGAAATGAAGAAGGGATTCAGTAACCTTGGGTAATGCATGTGTAAATGAAATGAGAGATAACAAGGGCAGTCAATGCCTTAATATTCCTCTTGAAACATTGATCATACTGTCAAAGAAACCAACATTGTTTTGAAATCTCGGAATAAGTATGGGACAGGCACATTTATATTACAGATAATTTTTTATATCTTGCTGTTCCATTTCCAGTCTTTGGACAGAATTCAGTCCTGGTGAAGCTGGCATCCATTCTGCAACAGATGAAGGATTGCCGCTCATCTCCATTAGCATGGCTCAAGCTTCAAACATGTGAAGTATTTCTCGGAAAATAACATGCATGTTGGTGGTTCTTGTATTCATAGATAGGTAGGTGCATTTGCATACACTTATGCAATAATACTCCAGTAATTATAATGATATTGAAAAAATAGATACCATGTCTGTCAAATATGCCTCTTAAATGTGATCTCCCGCTCTAATGCAACATGTCCCTAAATGTCACATCCTCCATAGTATTTACATGAGCATCCTAGTATTACACTGTAGTGCTGCAAAGGACATAACACAGTAATTCACATTTTTAAACACCTCCCGTATTTGAATTTGATTGTCTTCTTTAATTAATTGGTCTTGAAATTGGAGTACCTATATCTAAACTCAGATTTTTGCTTCCAAATGTGAGGAGAAAACAGAGACGTAAGTATCCTCTAAAAATGTGTAATCAAGGAGCTTCAGCTGATAAGTAGTTCCTCATTTCTTTTTAAGGGGAAATTAGTAATTTTTCTCTGGGTTTAAAATGTTCAGGTAGCGTACCTAAAAAAAAGAAGTATAAGAAAGGGTCTATGTTACCATGATCTGCATTTAGATGAGAAGGAGGCACCAGGAGCATAAGTTTCACCTTCATAGGTACAGTGGCATTCTTGACGGGGAATGCAGCCAGCACCATTAATGTCATCAAATACCATTCCTAGGGAAAAAAAATGGACTGTTACTCATTCCGTGCACTGCAGAACCTGCTTTTGTACACATATCTGGTAGATCCCTGAAAGCATGTTCTATTTCTTCTGTATTACACAGAAAATTAGTAGAAAGTACTTTAAAATAATGAGATGGCAGCTATGTAGGATTTGAAGGGCTATGTTCCATTGAAGCCTAACTCAAATCTTAGAGTGATCCAAAGAGACTTCTAGGGAAATACCTTTCTGTTATGGACTTCATTAGATTGGAAGCAGGATTAAAATTACTAGATGATGAGGTGGAATGGATGAACCATTTGTAAGACTGCCCAGGGACATATTTTTACAGTAAATATTTTTATACCCAAAAGCAGAGGATTATCTAAGAGAAGTCAGTACTATTATACAAGCAAGTGATGGTGAATTCTGTGAGACAGGATGGATGATGGGCAAAAAGAGCTGCAGGGGGTGAAGATCCTACCATGCAGTCACTCACAACAGCAACAGTTCTCAGCCCCACAGGTAAGAATGCACAAAAATAACTCATTTTCTTTGTTCGTCTTGCACTGATACTCAGTTCTCATGCATAACTCTCTGAAGCGCTAGATTTTACACACTGCCTAGTGCTCTCTCAGCATCTTGTTTAGACACCCAGCACTGGACAGGAAGGGTTTGGTAATTCGGGGAACAAGACACAGCTTTGCTAACACCAGGAGTTATCATTGTGAGCAAAGTGTGATTAAACATTACACGCTTTCTGTGAACTGAATATGGATGCTGACAATAGAAGACTTCCTCTTATTGTTAGGAGGGAAGTATTTTACTCTCACTTCAGTCACTACATACATGTCTCAGGCACGTTTGTTGTTTAAAAGGACATTTTTAGTAATTGGAATAGAAATGGTGCATGTGTATCAAGGAAGAAATGCAGTTACTACTTTGATGATAATAACAGTGATGACATGATGAGAATGATACGGAGTAGCAAAGTTGTTAAATGTGTACTGGTAAGTGTTCTAGTGGCTTTGGCTGTAAGAGAAGGGCAGGAAATAAGCTTGCCTGGAGGACAGACGCAGCCGTCTATGCAATGATCTTCACAAAGTGCAGATCGTTCCGGGTTGCTGCATGTGTCAGAGCAGGGGGAGCCACACTCCTGGTATTGCATGTTGAAAGGACATATTTTGGCTGAAAGTGGAAGGAGTATTATAATGCTGACTTTTCCTTTGAAATGCTGAGAAAACAGTATTTCATAGAATCATAAAATCATAGAATCGTTTAGGTTGGAAAAGACCTTTAAGATCATCAAGTCCAACTGTTAACCTAACCCTGACATCCCACCACTAAACCATGTTCCTAAGCACCTCGTCTACCCGTCTTCTAAATACCTTCAAGGATGGAGACTCAACCACTTCCCTGGGCAGCCCATTCCAGTGCCTGACAACCCTTTCTGTGAAGAAATTTTTCCTAGTGTCTAACCTAAACCTGCCCTGGCGCAACTTCAGACCATTTCCCCTTGTTCTATCACCCGTTACCAGGGAGAAGAGGCCGATCCCCACCTCGCTACAGCCTCCTTTCAGGCAGTTATAGAGGGCAATAAGATCTCCCCTCAGCATCCTCTTCTCCAGACTAAATTTGCAGTTTAGGTTGTTTTCTGTCAAGATATAATGGGGTATCCTGATCCAAGTGGAGGCTGCAACATTTTAGACTTTCTGATATATATTGAAAACCCTTTGTAATGCAAAATCCCCTAAACTTCCGTATTCCCAAAGTCTTGAGTATGCTCAGGTATAAAACTGATTTCATTAAAATTACATGAATCTTTAAACAGCTGTCTTCTTCAGGAAAAAAACCCACATATTTGAATTTTGCTAGATATGGGTAGTAATAACAGGTGAAAGACCCTTCCTGAGATACTTACGACACAGTTCTGAGGTTCTCCAGTTCAGAGGCTGTCCGCCTGCATGAGCACACTGCCGGGAGTATTCAGCAAATGTGTTGCACATGCAGAAGTCTGCCATAGAGCTGTCACAGTGGCATACGTCTTGTATGCAAGTTTCAATGTAGTCCTGAACATTCACAAGTGCATTACAGCTTGTAAATGCTTTACTGGTTAATACTGTCTCACAGATAGAAGCCTAGGGGGGAAAATAGAGAGGATAAAGCAAATGTTTAGAAAATACAACACTAATTATTTAAGCCATGTAGCAGAACAAACCAAAGATCCATCTGGTCCAGAAACCTGTCCAACAGTAGCCATAAGCAGATGTTTAGGGAAAGGTATAACAATAGGGCAAGTACACACTATCTTCCCATATCTTGAGTTACTTTCAGCTCAGGTGACTTCCCAAGCATTATACAGTGTCTTTGTATTATGATATCCTCAATGAATTTCTCTTACATGAAAATTCCAGTCTTCTCTTGGAAGAGAAATGCAACTTTTTAGCACTCACTTTAGCAAATAATAAAAAATTAAATTTAGAAAAATTTTCTTTCCAGACTTACAGTTGAATCATATTCATGCCATATTTTTTCCAGTTCTAACAAATTTTCTCCAAAGACAAGGAGAATGTATTTTACACTGAGAAAACAAATTTTGAGAGAGAGGCTCTTACAAATTCAGCTGAGCAGTTCACTAGAACAGGAGGAAGAATAGGATCAGCACATTGCTCTGTTGGTCCATCCAGTTTCTGCATATTCCCAAATTGTACAGGAGTCAGTTTTGTCTCTGTAAAAAGCAGTCCAAATATTAGAATAATATTTACTGGTTTGTTGGCTTTTGCATGGAGATATTTTCTTTTGAGACACTACCTGCTATGACATCAACAGTGATTGCCAAATAATATCACTATAATATGAAAGGCAAAGGAGATGAAGAAGGTATACAAGGAACTGGATCCTAACTGTTGAAAACAAGTAGAAAGTTGCATGGGCCAGGTGTTAAAAGATCTAACAGTGATGGAAGCAGCCTAATACATCTCAAAGCCCTGACTCTATACATAACTGGCAGCACAGCAATACATAAAGAAGTATTACTAGTTTTGCAGATAATACAACCCACAACCTGTTACAGTATACCACGAAAATAAAGAAAAGCAAAGCACCAATACTTTATTTTGCTTTTTATTACTTACTCCCTGACATAAATTCATTGCTAATTGGAATTCCATTGAAGTCCCCACAAAGTCCACAAGTTTGATTGGCATATTTCTGATCTAGTTCCACCTAAAAGAAATGAGGAAAGAGCGCTTAGGTTCATAGTAATGTCAGCCTTGATGGTTAGGAACATAGGCTACATAAATATTGCTTATGCACTGAAAATTTAACATATGTATAACTGTGCAGATTTTCCCATGTGGTAACAAGGTAGGCACCATGGGGAAGGAAGGTCAGTGGCCACCAAAAAAACTTGATCTTATTTTAGCCCTGGTGCTGTGAACTTTGGCACATTGCCAGGTCTGGAATCTGAGCAATACTTCACCAGGAGGTGGGGACATTATAATTGGGTGTCTGTTGATACTGAGCTGAACTTGGTGGAAAAAAGGGAAATTGGGAGAAGTCTGGAAGACAGAACAATGCACTAAAAATGAACACAAATCCAAAAGTGACTAATGTCTGCCTGGCTGATTAAGACTGCAAAGATGTAAACGGACTTTTTTCAAAATACAGGCTTTCTGCCATGTTTTGGATGTTTTCTTACCAGGAGGGCATCCTCTTCATTCCAAAGGAAGGTCAGTCCTAACTTGGCAGAAACTTTCAAATAGCTGTTACTTCTCTCTATCAAGATTCCCATATGGCTGTATGGCAACAGAACCCTGGGGAAAGATCACCATAATTCAGAATTCAGCAGGGGTGGGGACAGAATATCCATTGAATATCCACACTGATATCCTTTCTCATTCTCTTTGAGAAGCGTCGACATACATAGGTGAGGAAATTAGTCAGCAGTAAGTAAATACAACACAAGTTGGCAACATTTTGGCTGTTTCCTATGCAATTGCTTCTCATTGTGCAAATGGATCAGCCTTGCTTTCCCTGCTGTTCCTTTTGGCTATCTCTGTTAATGGTGTTTTTCTAGATAAAATGTTGGCATGTGTCTTTGGTTGTATTGTTCAAAAAAGTGCTGGGAGGTTCTGTCTTGCAGGCAGTATGCTTCAGGATATTGCTAATTACTCCTTAAAGCCCTTGATAATAAAGGGATAGACTCTTCAGGCTTTCTGTGACGTGAGTGCCATTCACAAAGGTGTACCCAAGATAACCGCTAGACTAACTTGCTATACATAGGTGCTACAATACATAACTTACTGCAGGATAGCTGCCCAAATATTTACCCAGCCTTTTGGACAGGTTTCATGCCCTATGCCAAAGTCAGTGCTACCACTGCTACATAGATAACAAGTTTCCAGGCATTTTAAATGAGTGCAGGTACAAGAAGCAGTCACTGCTTAACTGCATACTGTTCAGTGCAAGGACAAAAGCCATCAAAAATTCCTCTCAGGGATCCTGTTCTGGTAAAATTAATGGAAAGTAGAAACTTAAAGGGTATAAAAACCTAACACTTTGACTGAATCCAGCTTATAGCCTCAACTGTACAGATGCATACACAGTTGGATGAGTGGAGCAGCATTTGGACTATAGCTCATCTGAACAAAATGGACACAGAGATAATCTCCAGAAGTGGCATGTAGCTGACTGTCAGGCCCTCTTATTTTTGTGGATAATTCAGGAAGGACCTGAGCCCTACAGCTCCTTGGGAGCAATGTGATATCAGATGACAGAAAAGGATGCTTGCTCAAAGAGGCCACTGGGAGCAAAAGCAGTGATAACAGTTTCAAGTTATGAACATACGATTTGCCATCAAGCAGGACAGAGCCATGGGTCAGTTCAATCACTGCTCCTTCCAGTTGCATGATGACATGAGTGATCATGGTAGCATTTTCCACCATTGTACGCCTAATCTGGATGTTGAAGTCCTCATAGGGAGATTTGCAGTTGGATGCAAAGATGTAATTGCAGACCCCAGGGAAGTAAAAGATGTCCCCATCGAAGTTCTTGAAGTGGAAGTTACCCCATGTGCTGCACACACAGCCATTGTGAGAGGGGTTGCCAGCTGTGGATTCAAAATAAACAGTAAGAATTTTCTGTAATTTGCTGTATATACCCTCCCTTTAGTTGCTTTTCCCTTTTTATTTCTTTCACTAGCCTCTGTCCAAAAAGCCCATCTTCTGTTTTCCTTCTTGTCAAGCTATTTGTTTATCAGTCTGTTATTCATTTAGTTCAATTATCTTTTATGTTTAATCTGTTTTGCATAGGTATATAGGGCCTAAGATCAGAAGAGACCTCCTGGGTCACTATGTCCAATGCTCTGGTTCTGCTGACAGCCATATTCCATAAATCGTTTCCTAAATGTATGAAGTTCTAAAGTTTCACCAAAAAAAACCCAGTTTAAAGTTAGTTTAAAACTATCTGGTACTCCTGCTAGGGAAGAACATTCATAGCTGCACCATTTGAATGGCTGGAGGACTTTTGCCAGCATCTTCCAAAATGTATTCCTGTCTCATGCATGCCTGGTTGGTTTTGTGCCAGTGTTACACTTGTCCTTGAAGGTGTTCCACCTCGCTGCACCTCCCCACCCACCCCCACTACAGAAATCACTTATCTCTTTTCAGTCTTCATTTCCTTACAAGCAGGCTCTCCTATCTGCTTGATTATCCCCACAGTCTCTGTGTCTCTTCCAGATTTACATGCACCCTGCTTGAACACAGCTAGTCAGAATTGTACCCTATATCCCAGATAAGGTGTCTCACCAGTGCTTTGAACACATTAATATTTCCCTGTCTTTGCTGGAAATATTGTGCATTATTTATTACAGCATAATTTATATATATATCTATAAAAATACGCCTTTTTGTTTTTTACAGCTGCATCTTATTAACAAAATGCAGACTGAGTAGTGGGGTCACATTTAGATTATCCTTGTTACTTGATGAATTGACTACTTTTCTTGTTCATTTTTTATTTTATGATGCTAAAGGATCTTACACAATTTATTAATCTCTTCAGTCATTCCACACTCTACCTGTGTGACCAACAGGAACACAGATATCTGAGCCATGACATTTGTTTAACTTACCCTTTAGTTTCAGCATGTTTTGAAGAGGTGGAATTATTGTCACTTTTTGGGATTTTGAAGCTGGTGGAAAATCTAAGGGGGGAAAAACGATCAAGTTTAATCTTACTAGAAGTCCTAAAAAATGGATAGAGATTGCCTAGTCTCTTTAGTAATTAACATTTCCTACTACTAGTTACACCCTAGGGGGAAGTTTCCACAAGGTTTTAGTGTTGGTTTTTACACAGTGCTTTGTGTTCTGACATTCTATATATTTCATTAACAGCCAAATCTCAAGGACCATGCTCTTTGGCTGCAGTACTTTCTTCCAGTATTTGTTCAAGACTCCCATCTGATGCTGGCCCTCATGTTCTGAACTCAAAAGCAGCAACCTGATCCTTAGAGCAATGTAATACCAGTTCAGAAAAAGCAGTGCTAATATCTACGTCTGAACCTTTGCCTTTCACTGCACTTAGAAGGAGAAAGTTACCAAAGAATATTAGAAGCTGAGGATGAGAAACAGGAGCTCATTTTTTTTCTGAAGCTCAAATCTTTCTTTGTGCTGAGACAGGCACTTTTATACAACCAACCAACTTTTTTTAAAAAGCAGTTTTAATTCTGTGAAACTTTAATCATGTGCTTTTCATGCAAAGACATCTGTTGGTAGGATTCAGCCCTAATTTTCCATGTCCAAATCCAATGTTTTCACTTTGGATCCAGCAATGAAAGGGATAGAATACTTAAAGAACCTGCAATGTGATTTTCTTAATGTGAGAGTCTGAGGAATTGATGCAGTTTCTCACTTGAGAGTGTCAAAATCATAGGATTTGATGACTTCCAAATTGTAGATTGTGCAGTATCAGCCATTGACTTCTGCATTTAGACCAAAAAATATCACTAAGACAAATATGTTTTAGAAAGACAATCTCATTTAGTCTTGATGTAAGGATTTAAAGGGAAAGCACACATACTACCTTCCTTTTTTAATCTGTTCCAATAATTAAATGCACTCACTATTATTAAATAATTTGTGGTTCACTTCCAGCTTGGGTTTGTCACTATTTTAATTGCCAGCTAGTGATCTCACAAATTGCAGATTGCAGGGCAGGCTTCATGATTAACTGTTTCAGCCTGTCTTCACTAATAACCAGTCAGCATTGTATCCTTGCACCCTTGTTTTGCTCTGTACAGTTACAGTGTTTGCTCTGTACAGTTATGTGTCATGCATGATCTTGTAGTGCTTAATTATTCTAATGTTTAAGATAGTTACAGTTTTCTCATTCTCTTGTGAGTGATGCAGTCATCTTGACACAGCATAAAAAAAGTATCTTTTATTACCTACTATCAAGTACCTTGGTGATACGTATGTATACACACACCTTTTCTGAAAATACACTTTTAGATAGAAGGTATGTACCTTTCATGACGTTAAAGATTAGATAACTGTATCATATCAGTAGACCAGATCCACTGGGCCAGATCTCAGAGGAAGTTCTCCAGGTTAGAGCAATCAGGGATTAGCTGGGAATCGGATATATTGTACAGAGGATTTCTCTCTCCTTTTTTTTTTGGGGGGGGGACGGGGGGAGGGGATAGGAAAAGTATGTTCTTGCTAGGAATAAGAAGATACCACTAATCTTATTATTTATCAATTCATTTTGGGACAAAATCTTAGTAATAGATCAGCATAAAAATACTTACTTTTTTGTCCCTGCAGGATGGATGGAGAACCATAGTTTGATTTTGTTTGTTGTTCGTCATCCTGGGCTTGAACTGCATCAAGAAGAGTGTAAGAGGAAAATGTTAACATCTAATTTTCTTGAGTTCCCTCATAATTTCTCAATTATATCTCTTTAAACATGCAACAGTCAGTATATCAAAAATCATTAAAGCTATGTCCATGTACAGGAGGTCAGATTTGCATCAGGACCTGTGGTACATGCAACCATGATGGCCATATACCACTCCTTCAGCTTAAATTACTGCAGGAAAGCCATCAAAAACATGTTTGTGATAATTTGAGCAGATCCTTATTCTGTTATTATCACGGTACCCCTGGATGCCCTTATAAGCTTTTCAGATAAAGGACTTGATTTTCTTAGGTTTTTTTGATCACTGTGTGCATTAAGCATCAGCAAACCCCTTTGCCTAGCCAGAGGGCTTTAAAAAGAGCCCTTTTGTACAGGAAGAATTAATGTTAAGGTTCAAGGGCTGATCTCTGTCCTCTCTTATGGAAAGCCAAAGTTACTCTCTATTCTGCAGTTTCAAGCCCTTGTGGTAAGAAGGAAAACAAATGCACAAGCCACACAGAAAGAAATAGTTCTTTCCAATAGATACATTTGTGACTGTTGATTTTGCCCCAAAGCAAACCTTTTTGTTTCCAGCGAAGAAACCATTTTTCATTCCATTCCACTGCAGCATCAGAATAGGAATACACAAAAAATCTGCAGGGGCCAGAGGGGCTTTCAATGCACTGCTTAGTGAGAGTCGCCAGGGAACAGGTTGCAGGGGAGGCTACGCTGGGTGAGAAAACCGAAAAGGCAGGCTCACCCCCTGCTGCATCCCACAAGAAGGGCAGTCCGTGGGTAGCACCGCTAGAGGGGCTAATGCTGAAATCAGAGCTGCAGGGAGCTCTGTAAGGTGCCTTCCTTTCTGCAGTAGCTGGGGGTCTGCAGCTGGTGTTTGAAGGACACATTGTGCCCCTTTTTAAGCTATAAACCGTTCAGTGCCTCTGGGCTCCTCTTCTCTGCTGCCTAGCTTCAGAGAGCTTTTTGCTTCTCTCCCCATACACCGTATGGCTCCAATGCCCTGCCTCATGCCATGCGCATCACAGATTCCCGTTTCCATTGCGCAGTGTGATAATGCTACAGCTAGTCTTTCGATGGCCTATTTTTTGACATTACCACTTTTTAACATAAGTTAGTGGGGAATTACCTGGAAGTAGGAAAAAGTACATCTGAGGTCAAAATGCACTAAAATCTAATGTGGTTACCTTAAACGTTAAGGGAAATTAGCAGGTGAAGTATATGTAAAAAAGATTTCCACTCATATGTGAGTATTAAGTGCCCTCTTAGACTATTTGAGGCAACTCCCTTTCTTTTCACCCCATCAAAAACCAACCCTGTGCTCTAAGCTTTAATGCAACCTCATGTACAAGAACAGATGAATTTTAAAATCTGTTGTCCAATGTTTTTCAAACAAAATCCCTCCCTCTTTCAATACTGTATCATCAGATGATAAAGCACACAAAATCTTTAATAATTGCATGCAGACAGACTCCACTGATTTGTTCCTTCCTAAAGCCACTTTTGCACCTTTTGGTTTGTACATTTAGAAATGCAGTTCCATCTTAAACAGGACATCAAAAGATAAATGCAAATCTTGAGGCATTTTGATAGAAATGTGAGTGCTGAGTAAGCCCCACTGAATTTAGTGGAGCTATTCTGGTTTTTGACTGGAGAAAATAGAATGAGGGCATGGACTACAATATAAATTTTCAAGACAGTTAATTTCCTCTTCTTAGGAAAGAAAGTATTTGTAACAGAAAAGAAAACCTTGCATAAAAGTAATAGTTTATTAATTAATTAACAATAAAATTAATATAAAAGGAACAGCTTATTAATTAATTTGCTTCATAAAGCTAAAAAAAAGTTTCAAACTCCAAAGCAAGTTATAATTTCTGTAAAACAGTCAAAATGCCAAGCAAGTGAATCTTCCTACCTTTGATCTGTATGAAGGCAAGTGCTATTATTGATATCCATAGTGGTATTCGCGTCCCGCCACCTGTGCCCATCTTCTGGAAGTCCGGTAGAAACTACCGAACAACCTGCCTCTGAGGAAATACCTGTCTGCTCCTGAGTCTTATATAGTGAAAGAGTAGGTTTTGGCTCAGTTCCCAGATTGTTTCACAAGCTTCTTAAAAGGTGGGGCTTCAGACATTTTAGTTTTCCTTTGCAGGTGCACAGGTAAATAGAGGATGCTCTGACTTTCCCTCAGCTATTTGCACTGTAGGAGGAGTCTTCATTCTACAGGTCTTTTTGATGAAATGTCAAGAAGGGAGCAGGAAGAATTTTTGCTCAGGCTTAGTCTTCCCAAATTGTTATATATTATGAGATAAATACAATTTAAGGGACTTCTGAGTGACTTCTGAGCAGAAGCTTGGAATAAATCACTTCTTTTTATTTTCCTCCTTAGAGTAAATGATGGCAACTTATAACTTCTCAAAAAACCCAAAGAAGTTCTGTCTGACACAGATTTTTTTTTTTTTTTAATGAGTTTGCACCTGTCTGTGTAGCTACTTTGCCTGTGAAAGTGGAGAAATCAAGTGTCTTCGAAGGTCAGCATTTATCCAAAGGCCAGGCACAACACAGGACTATGCAGTGAAAAATCCTTCAGCATTGGAGAGTCAGTAATATGGACATTTCCTTGAGAGATTCTTCTTTCACATGGGCACTTTTAGTGCTACTTCAGCTGTTTCTGTTCTGAGTAAACATGATTTCACCATAACAAATTAGATTGATTCTACCTACAATAAAATATGTGGATTTTCTTGCTGATTTCTGTTCCTAGAGACAGAAAAGGACTGATTTGCAAGCATGTCCTTTGGAACGTTCCTTATCTTAGGAACAATGAGAGAATGAACAGTGTTTAGTCATTATGTTAATATATTTATTTACAGCTTTATTACTTTGGTGAATTAACCTTTTATAGTGTTTTACCCCAGGGTGTAGAGAAACAGAGTCTTTCAGTAGGAGGAAAGGTCCCCTAATCCCACACGGGATCAAATAGTTCCTGCAAAGAAATAGTACTGGGATGGTCTTCACATTCTGTGGGAAGAGGACAAGGTATAATTAGGTTTCAAACTGGGAATGAAGTTTACGTTAGACAACAGGGAGAAAATTTCTTTTGCAAGGATGGTGAAGTACTCTCATAGGTTGCCCAAAAAGACTGTCAAATTTCCATCACTGGTCGTTTTTAAGAACAGTTTAGAAAAACACCTACCTGAGAATGGTGTTAAGTGCTGTTGTCAGTGCCCTGGGGCAGAAGAATAGACTAAATGGCCATTCAAGATTCCTTCAAACATAATTTTCTATGATTTCTTTCTGAAAAATAGTATGTATTTTCTCTGTTGGAGGAGTTATATTTGAGGAAGTAACTTAAACGTTAAGAGAGAAATTACAGGCACTTTTTTTTCCCCAAGCGGTAAACAAAAGCAAGAAAAGATGCTGTCTTTCCTGAACATTTTAAAAGTATAGCTGGTTATTAATAATTAAATAAAAGTGACATAGCTAAATAAAATTGGAAGTGTTGAGGAAAAGAATTGGTTGATTTCAGTCATGAGTTATACCTCTGGCAACTTCATTGACGTATAAGTCTGTAGAATTTACCTTCATATTATTTAAATGAGGAAAAGAAGATGACTACAAGACACTTATGTAAACAGAAATACACGCAGTGAAAATTTAAGGGAAATGTTATCGCCTCTAACAGTTATTATAAATAAGTTCCAGGATGAAGAGCAAAAAAAGAAAAAAAATGCTAACAGATATAACTGGTATGTATTTGAAGTAGTTATAAAATCATATGGTAAATTCAGTTGGGTAACACGCATAAGCTTATTAAGTGATTTTGTTGGTGACAAGAAAAATATGCTTTATGAATCATTACATTGCTTACCACTGAAAACCCCATTCATATCAACAGTTGCTATGCTGTGGTTTCATATACAAAGGTTAACAATTCCTGCACGTTCAGAGAAGTGCTATGACCTCTCAGAGATACCAGTTTGGTCACCACTGATGACTCCCATTGCATGGCTATCGCAAATTAGGCTGAAACAGGTTTGCATTTAAATGTAACCCATTTGACTGAGCTTTAAGGCACCATCAAAAGTGGTTTCCTATATCTGCATTTTTGGCTGAAAGTCTCAAATGTCTTGTAAGTCACAGATCTCATTATCCTTACACTCCTAAGTGGTTACTTCATTGTTCAATTCTCTTGCCATGTTAACTTCCATTATCTTGTGCTGATTCTTTTCAGAAATTATTATAAAATGTGTCAAAATATGAGACTTGCAAAAATAATTTCCAAATATTTATGATAAATTAATTTAGCAATTTTACTAATTATTCAAAGAAATAATTCCTCTTCAAAGTGTATTTCACATTCATTCACTCAATAGACCTACATATGTGACATGGAAATGTATTTTTTTTAAATTGGCTTGGAATAATGTGCAGATTTGAGTAACTGTTTATGATCAAATCAGCATATAGTTGACTGCATGAGCAGAAGTATTAATATATTAGAAAAATGTATTGGTGTACGTATTTTTAATTTTTTTTACCAGAAAAGATCAAAGATTCTGACACTGCATTTGATCTGAAAACCCTGACACTTCTTTCTATAGCTTCTTTTTCTTTTTTCATGGGATTATATTCCTACTCTCTGCATCTGCAATATTAAATTGCAAAAAGAGTTGTTAGCGTTTTCAGATCCATTCTTTTTAATCATACATGATCAAATGCTCCATGATGATGATGTTATTCACACACCTGACTCATGATTTCTGAACCTGGATCTTCATAAGAAAAAATGAGACCATCATATCTTATTTTCATATACCTTATCTGTAGAATGCAAATAAAATGTCATAGCAAATTTGGTTAACTTTTGGGTGCAGTAATGATTGAAATCAGTGTCTCCATTTATATTTCTAATATCTAGAATGATGGACTCATAGAGATATATAGAAGGTGTCTAGTCCACCTAGTGCTGTATTGGAGTAGCTTCATTTCAAGGGAAGGATGAAAACATTTGTAATTGATAGAAACTCTTGACAATTCCTCTGTGCCAGCACTAAAATGCAAGTTAACAAGGATCTGTCTGCTGGGTTTTTCCCTGGCTGGTCATTTGCCCACTTCTGAGTCCAAGTTTAAGCTCCAGACTTGGTGCTGGGACATTAGGCTTTGCATTCAGCTGAAGAACTATTCTGATTATCCCTAATTTTTGATCTGTGCAAATTCAAACCCATGGTTTTTATCTGGAAGTTTCTATGGAGAAGTGAGGCAACTGATCAGTTTCTGCTCAAAAGTTGTTCATTAACATTATAGGTGTTCTCTTAATTATGTGAAGATGAACTACATTTCAAACAGGTGCAGTAGGTATTTTATAGTATGTGATACAATATAGTCTATCTAAAGTAAAGCTTTAACAACTAAAATAGGGATACAACTCCTTTTATGTCCTTTACTAGATCTTAGTCAAACATAGTGCCATTGATCCATTTATTTACTTCCAAATGCTTAGATAAAACTCAATGATTGAAAATGAAATCACATTAATATGAGTTCTGAAACCCTGTTTCATTAACATGAGTAGTTCTCCTGCTGTCTTTTAGCATGTACATTGTAGAGGGCCAAGTACATAATGTTTTGATCTCCATTGCAGCCTCTATGCTTTACTGTAAAACAGGTAATGTGTAATATGATTAGGATCTATTTCTGGTTTTATTTTTATTATCTGTTCATTTCAAAGGTTGCAGTGCCATATAGAAGAACCCAAGCAAAGCATAACAAGTTAAATCAGGCATTGGAAGCTGTCTAGCTTCAATAGAAGAGGCTAGTTTACACCAAAATGACTAGGAAGTAAAATATATTTAGTATAGTATCTCTCATTTTATCTAACAGGTTTTTGGGGGAAGAAATTCAGTCACAGACCATCTCGGAGTCCTGCTTTAAGACATTCCACCTATGCAAAGCTAGTAAAGAGACCTCATTTTATAAATATTGCATGTTAAATATACCCATGCTCTTATATTAACCAAGTTCCTTTTCCTGGGAAAGATCTGAAAAGTCATGGCTGGTGAGGACTGGGTCAAGTGGGCAATAGTATTCGTATTAGCACAATAATGTGGGATTACCACAAGTTCCCAGAGTAACCCGGCACTGGTATGAGGTATTTTCCCTGTAACAAACATTTAGAGGCTGAACAGCATTGTTTTAGCCCATGCCTTCCTTCACACCTTCTCCACAACTCCAGTGCCAAATTTCAGGTTGTCATTCCCAGGATTTTTGCGTGCCGAATAACCCTTCTCATGACTGGCTGCTTCTGCTATCTCTATCATTACTGTTTCTTTGCTTCACATCTACCTGCAATCAATATCACTCTGCATTCTTCACTTCCTCTTTTTCCTCCAGTGTCTTTTATCTTCTTGACATACCCACTTGAAGACAACTTGAGATCTGGGGTTTTTTTTATAGTATTTGGCATTAAATGCTGTATGTTCATTGGTTTCAGCGGTAACTGAATGCTCAGCACTTCTGCAGTGTTGCAAGCAGATTGTCCAGAGAAGGAAGAATGCACAGTTAAACCCCATTATTATAATTTGATATAAAACTTGTAACTAGCACCACAAATGAATTTTATGGCATTCCAGCAGCTTGATGATACTGTCCTTGCTCTTTTCAGCATTTCCTCATTCAGTCACTTCAAATTTAAGTTCTGCAGCAAAGAAAGCGGGAAATCTTAAAGAAAATTTTACCAGAAAGATCCCTGCAATGTTCTGAGTAAGAGAAGGTTCTGCAGAAAAAATAATGTGCATCCTGTACTATTAGGGGCCAGAGTAAGGTTTCCATGTTGTCTGTCTATGTCTGAGATCTCTCTGTATAAACGGGATATACACTTAAGCCTCTTTATAGCTTGTAAACGCAGACACCGCAACTGTGCATACTAATATTTGCAATTGGTATTATAGACTAAGAAATTGATGTAAACACACATACTTGAGGACAT